TACTTTTCATCCCACTGTAATTACCACATCATATGTCTCTTGTTGTCTGATACATGCCACATTCTATCTTTCAATGATGTTATAATTTCCAGCATTGTCTCATCTCCATGATGTTGCAGTTTTCAGTGATGATATAGCTTTCTGAAGTGTAGATTCTGCCACCTTTAAGGATTCTACTCTGATGTTGACCTAGCTCAGGATTCACTCTCTAAGGTTAGGTGATACAAATTGGGGTGACTGAGTGTTCAAATCTATACACATTTTCTACTGATATGAGCCAGCAAAAATCACAGTCATTAACCAATTAGTTTTAAGCATTCTAAGGTAATTCAATCCTAAGGAGAATAAATCTTAAGCAAATATCACAGAAATCTCTAATAGAGTTTCTCGAGGGAGGTCACGCTCTTACAGTCAGGTTAGAAACAAGCCAGCCATGGAATATAGCACAAGCCAGATGGAATAGTCATTATATCAAATACTGTCTGAACTAATGGTTTGAAAACCCATATTAATGAGAAGGGGAGGTAGAAAGAGCAAGAAAGAGAACAGAAAAAGGAAAAATAGATTGATTGGCTGGAGGACAATTCTCATTCATATTAATACAGAAAAAAGGTGACAGAGGGCATCAACAGCTATTGACCTACATGCCTGCCTTCCCTTCTATATAAATCATCATGAGGATCATCTATCCACTCACTAAGGGTATGCTAAAAGAAGTATTTGTAGGGAATAGGAAGACTTTTTATAAGTGGTATTCAACAATGAACCACATCCTTACCATCTTACAATTCACTGGAAGATATGTAGAATATAAGATACTATTGTGCTTGTTATCTGTTGATTATGAAAAATCATTTGATTCAATAAGACAAAGTACCATTTTATAGGCTCTTTTATAACAAGGTGTCTCCCATGAAGACTTCAAGATCATTCAAAATCTCTTGGAATGTGCAACAACAAAAATAACCCTATTCAGTGACCCTTTGATGAGAAACATCAGGCAAGACAGAAAATGAAGAAATATATGTTCACCACAGATATTTACCACTGTGAGGAAGATCTAGCACAGAGTCTACAGTGAAGAGGAATTCCCTGTGGATGGTGAGGTTCTGCGGATAGTGACATATTCCAGATGTTCATGTCTGTGGATGACATTGTGTTGGATACACCAAGCCCCAGGATATTATAGAGTGTCCTGGAAGAATATCTGTCACCATTCAAAGAAGATTGCCTTGTTCATCCACATGGAAAATACTAAATGGATGTAGAATGTCTGCAAACCAGATTTCAACATTCATTTGAATGTATACCCTATATAGTTTTCCCCCAGCAGCATGTATACTTGGGATGGACTGTTCAGACAGACAATGAGCTGGGAGCAGAGCTGAAAAGAAAAAGGAGAGCAGCATGGATTGCTTTTGGGAAATTGAGGAGCTTGTTTGCTGATTCCAAGATGCCCATAAAACAAAGACCTCTCTTTTCTACACTAACCTTTTTCTGGTTCTCCTCAGTGGCTGCAAGATGTGGACCACCACTGTCTCTGAAGAATTAAAGATGAGTATCACACATAGGACAATGGGAAAGAGCTTGGTGAGAGCAGGCTGAACCATATATATCTTCAAAGAATTGTAAAAGAGGAAGAGACGGATAGGTATGGATGAGTTGTAATCTGTATTGTTAGAGTGAACCCTTGAATCCATGAGATCACTGATCAATTTGAATGCTTGAATATTATCAGTAAAAACACTGATATTTCGAAGTATGAAGTATTTTCAATATGGGAAAAGAGGAAATCCAAGGAAGTAGAATCCAAGCTCCTTGAGGTAGGTTTTGTATTTTTAAAAAATGTATATGACATGCTTTATACTACAGCTGCTCCTCATTTTGGCTCTCTGCTTAGAGGAGTGATGGGTCTTTGGAGAGCGAGACAAATGATATGACATAACTATGGAAAGATTATATTTTGGGTCAGAATCTAGGATGAAATGTCTGGAGTGCTTCTTCTTAGGGATGCCTGATGAGCCCACTCCTATTCTATGGTGGGCTAACCAAGGCTAGAAATTGCCAAAGTGTTCTGGCCAAGAACAAGACATCTGAGCCTGACAAAAGCACTGGTTTTCACAAGACCCAGTTGGCATTTTCTTCTGAGATTCATACTTCAAGTTCATAGAATGACAAGTTCTAGGTCAGAGTTTTTGCATCTTCATTTAAAGACCCTGCCTGCTAGAAATGTGACTAGAACATTGAGTGGGAATTGTCTTATATTGTTCTTGCCCCTTTGAGTGCTCACACAGGAGCAATCATAGGGAGTCAGATGTTTTAAAAGTCTGTATTTCTTAGATCTCCTGGGTTTGAAGTGATCGTATTTAGAGGAAGGCTATAGTTATGCACATGTTCAGTCGGTATTGTATATTATTGTTTTTGGTTTTTTCCCCTTTGCTTCTATTGTTCTCATGCTAAGAGAAAATGCTGAGTACCTGTCTGTTCTGTAGAAAGTCAGTTCTACTCTGTCAAAATCATGTGACTAGGTCTGTTAAGGAAGGACCTCTTAAGGAAGGACCTATGTGTATGTATAAATGTATATATTACACACACACACACAACACACACACACACACACACACACACAGAGTCAAGGATGAAGTGGAATTTGCCAGTAAGAGGGGGCTCAAAGCTCATTTTTTATTAAGTAGATCAATACATTTCATATCCATGTTTATAAGCTGCCTTGACCCCAAATAGAAAGTCAGAACTGAGGCATAGAAAGCTACCTACTCTGTGATAATGACAAAGAGCTTAGGATGTCCTCAGTGCTTCTGACTAGTGGGGCGTATGCACTTAAATGCCAGGATGAACAAGGGTTGCATTCTTACCATATCTTTTGTTGTTGAACAAGGTCAGTCCAGTAGCTATGAACGACACCTAGTGATTCTATTTATTTTCCTAGCACCTGCCATAGGGCTTAGCATATTCAAGGTGATTAATAAGTGATTGTTGGGTAAAGCAGCTTGCTCAAAGACACTCAGCTTGTAAGTGTCAGACACTGGATTTGAACCTAAGACCTCTGATACCAGATCTAGTATTCCTGCTACTTCCCTACTACCACTCTTCACCAAATTGTCCCTACTCTATCCCTACTCTCGACAGTCTCACTTATCAACTCCTGTCCTTAGCTGCAGAGCTACAGACTCTTTTACCCATCTCCTCCATACTATACCTTCCCCACTACTGTATATCCATCAATGGGGCCATTCCCTTCACCTAGAACACTTTCTCTTCCTTCTTGCCTTTGCCCAAACCTCTCACCCCATTTATTAATGAGCTTTGTTTTGCTCTCTGCCTAGGTTGTATACACACTAGACCAATTTGCCTTTGAAATGTGTTTCTTAGGTATCCTTTGGCCTTTTCTAGTGTGTTGGAGGATATATCCCATCTCTTCATTCAGGTCATGGGCTTCCTCAAAGAACAGACAGTGTTTCCTTCATTTTTTCTAGTACTACACTCTTAGCAATGCCAGGTACAGGGATCTACACACAGAAGGAATTAGGTGAAATGTGTTGACTAAGCTAAAAATAAGTCCCAGGCAGTACTAGATGGAAGAAGAAGTTGAACAATGGGTACAAAGAGGGAGTATGGTGTGATGGAAAATGCACTGAATTAAAAAACAGAAGACCAAGGTTCCAGACTTGTCTCTCTCACCTTGGGTAAGTTATTTTTCCCTCTTTGGGCCTCAGTTTACTTATCTATAAAATGGACCTTTTGGCTTGCTTGATCCTTCCAGCTCAATAACTCTATAGGTATGGAAAAAGAGCTGGTGAAGGCATGTAGAGATTATGCCTCCTTAGAGTTGATAGGGATTTACCTAATGTTTAAAAAAATCATCATAATAAGGATAATACTTCACATTTATATAGAGGTTTTTTTTTTTTGCACAAAACTCCTATAACTGAAGGAGTGTAATTATTATTTTTTTTTTTGGCAATTGGGTTTAAGTGACTTGCCCAGGGTCACACAGCTAGTAAGTGTCAAGTGTTTGGTCTGAGGCTGGATTTGAACTCAGGTCCTCCTGACTTCAGGGCCAGTACTCTATCCATCGCACCACCTAGCTGCCCAAAGGAGTGTAATTGTTAACATCATTTTGCACATGAGGAAGCAGAGGCTCAGTAAGCTGGCTAAAATTACACGACTAATGAATAGAAGATCCAGGACTCAAAACTGGCTATAGACTCCAATACTAACGAGCTTTCCACTGTCATCAGCAAGGTATGACATGGGGTAGGCTAGTAAGGGAGCATCTTGGATTCTGGGAATGAGTTTTATCTAAGCCTAATGTTCTAGGCCCAAGCAGCCAAAGAAGGAGCTTGACTATTACATAATCTCCTAATATTCATTTGCACAGTGGCTACAGGGTGCCCATCATTGTGCCAGCTGAGCTTAAAGCTTGTGCTAGGATCAGACACCCTGTGTCCTGTATGCTTCTCCACTCAACCCCTTACCTTACAAAGTTCATGAGTCAGTTTTACTTTCTAAATGTCCCATCATCCTTTAGTACCCCAAAATTACCACCTACCCTAGAAGAAAACAAGATTGGGAAGGCACTGGTTGGAGTCACTCAGGGCGCAACTAATGATACTAATACAAACATAAAATTAGCTTGATTAGTGACTTTAATGAGGCCAGAGAGGAAGATTAAGTGCCTCCTGGATTTATTCTGAATAGAGCCCTGACGGCTGAGTAGGATAAAGGATGGCTTGGGCAGCTGTCTTTAGTCTTAGCCTGAGCCAGGTGTTTAGGAATCTCAGGATGGGGACAAGAATCAGTGCTGAATATTTTCAGGGAACAAATGAAGGGTAGGAATTTTACATTGTAGTGTGTGAATTACAGGCTCAAAAACCACAAAGAGAGATTCACAGGCATTAAGTCTTGACAGCAGATGACAAGGGAGTTTCAGCATTCAGAAGTTTGTTCCACGGAGGGTGAGGATGAGATCTTAGATCATCTTACTTCTGTTTGGTCTTGGGGACCTGTGGGTACTTGTCTTGAGCAATAGGTGGAGTAACTGTGATGGGATAGGACCCTGGAAACTTGGTGGTGCCTGGCTCTGGGACTGTAGGAGGGCATGGCACTGGGACCTCAGGGTAGTATGGCTCTGGTAACTTGGTGGTGCCTGGCCCTGGGACTGTAGGATGGCTCGGCACTGGGACCTCAGGGTAAGATGGCTCTGGTATCTTGGTGGTACCTAGCCCTGGGACCTTAGGATGGCTTGGCACAGGGATCTCAGGGTAGCTTGGCTGTGGCCACTTGGTGGTGCCTGGTTCTGGGGCCCTGGGGTGGCATGGCTCCTGGGGAGGTGGTTGACAGGGCTGTTTCACCTGGTGCTCCTGAAGCTGAGGAGGTATGATATTGGGCTGCTTCTGCTGATGGTAAGACATGGTTGTGTGATGTGGTTATATCTGGAGAAGAAAGGACAGTTAGTCATTTTATTATCAAATGAGGAACAGCCAGGACCTCTGCTAGAGAAGTGTGACTTCATGAACACTTCCATGATTCTCCCTATCTTCCTTCTTGTCCTTCTAGCTCATTCTCTTTCATAATGAAATGTGCTCAGAATCTGTCTAGGTCAGAAGATAGGAGGATAGTCATTGGTTTCCTCAGATTTGGGTTCCTCTCCCCTCCCAGTTTTTCTCATGTCTGAGCAGAGTCTACTTCTGAAACCTCATTGCCAACTGTTGGATCTCCCTTTCTGTCTTTGCCTCTCTGTTTCTCTCTACTGCCTCGTGTCTCTTGTTTTTCTTGAGAGCTCCTTCTCTTACTCTGTCTCATTTCTTTCTCCATGTTGTCCTCACGTCTTTAGATCTAGATTTGGAAAGGACATTAGAGATGATTTCGTCCAACCTTGTCATTTTACAGATGAGAAAACAAAAGAATTACATAATATATTCAAGGTCACATACGGAATAAATGACAGAGCTGGAATTCGACAGCAGTCCCTGTTATTAGACACCCAGGACTCTTCCCACTTAAATATGGTGTTCCCTTTTCCTGCTATCTCTCCTCTTACATTGTCCAACTCTGTTACATGGGTTACTGTAACCGGACATACTTCTGAGAAGAACATAAATCAACATTAGGTCACTTAGAAAAGAAGTAAGTCAGAAAGATGACAATTTGCCAGTTTTAAAAACACATTAAATACTCTTTATTTCTATTAATTCTAGAATGAGAATTTTATGTAAAGTTTTAGAGGGATTTTGGTGTTGTATAGGGAAAAAGCATTAAACAAGATTCCAGAGACCTGTGTTCAAATCTAAGCTCTGCTGCTGACCTTGGGCAAATAATTTATCTCTCTGGAAATTCCTTCTTTTCCTCATGTGAAAAACAAAAGAATATGGCTTTAGATTACTTCAAGATCACAGCATCTCATCAACTAAAGGGACTTCAGACACCAACCAATTTTAGCCATGCTTGAAGAACAATCCCCTCTACAATGTACCTAGCGCAGCTAGGTGGTGCAGTGGATAGAGTGCCAGGCCTGGAGTCAAAAGAACCTGAGTTCAAATCTGACTTCACATATTTACTGAATGTGTGAGCCTGGGCCAGTTATTTAACCATATTTGCCTCAGTTTCCTCGCCTGTAAAATGAGCTGGAGAAGGAAATGACCAGTTACTCCAGTATCTTTGCCAAGAAAACCCTAAATGGGATGATGGAGAGTCAGATACAACTGAATAACAACAACTACAGTATGCCTCATAAGTGGTCATCCATTCCTTGACTAAAGACAGCCACTGAGGCTGAACTCCTAAGCCCATTGGCAGCCTACTCCACTTCGTGATAATTCTAATTGTTAGAAATTTTTCCCCTTTACATCAAGCCTAAATCTGCCTCTTTGCAGCCTCCATCCGATTCTCCTAGTTCTGCTCTCTGGGACTGAGGAGAACAAGTCTGAACCCCTTCCATGTGGCAACCCTTCAAATACTTGAAGGTGGCTATTATAGCCCCAAGTCAACAAGCATTTATTAAGCACCTACTATGTGCCTACTATTTCAGCAGTATATATATAATGCCTATATACAAATGCACATATATTTGTATACGTATATATGTATACACACACTAATGTATATGTATATAATCTCAAAAGTACCTGATATACATACATGATCTTGAAAGAGTCTTCCAGCTTCGGCATTCCAAAATTCTATGAAATACCCTAAATGAATATCATGTTAGATAAGGCAACACTGGCCATTTTGCATTTTTTTTTCAAACAGAGAACAATGAAATGGCCAACAATGCTTAAAAATTTCTGGTCAGAAATGAAGCAATCTAAATTCTGGTCCTGCCTTTGCTGTGTGACTTTAGGCAAGTCATTTCCCCTCTGGACCTCAAATTCATCATTTTTATGATAAAGTTCTTTGATTCTAGCATGCCCTGCTCAGTGAGTTATTGAGAAGAGATACAGAATAAAGAGGCTTACCTGGTGCTCAGAGAAAGGAAGCTTCTCAAGGTACTCAAGTCTGTTGATGAATCCTGGGTATGCTATGAGGCTTTTATATAGTTTCTTCTCCTTATGTCAAGGAAATGAAACAGTTCTTGGCCTTACTCTTTTCATTCTTTCCCTGCCCAACTGTGAATCACCTTAACCTTCCTCATTTACTTGTCTGTTCAGTCTTTTTGATGAAAACCACTCGGTTGACATTCCTTTGGCACCAGATATCTGATAATGTCATTAGTATTTAATCTCTACTTTCCCCCTATTCCCAACTTGAAACTAGCCAATGGTGAGACTAAGGGCAGAGCTTCCTTGGAGTTATTTCATGAATTTAATACATGGAGCAGGAAGATCTATTCCTTCTGGTGCACAGATACTGGCTTCCCTTCTCTAGGGGGCCAGTGCCCTTGAATCTGCCATATTGGGTAAAGTAGCTTCCTGTGCATCTTCCATGTGAAATAGTTTCTCCAGTTTATATGGGTTGAGATGAGGGAAAACAGAAAGTAGAGGATCAATGGACATGATGGCATTGAACATGGGACCTAGTGAATTGTGATGTTTACTCTATATCACTAGCATGTACATAGTTATTTATGTGTTGTCCGTCATTAAAATGTAACCTCCTTGAGGACAGGTACTCCCCTCCCCCTTTCTTTTAATCAACACAATTAGTGTAATGTCTACCTGGTACATTTTAATTGTCAATGAATACTTGTTGACTGACTGACTTTCGGCAGGAGCTTATAGGCCCTTTCACTAAATGTTTTTCTTTTCCCCTTATCTCATCTATCTTCATTCCTTATCAATCCATCAATCAACAAGCATTTATTAAAAACTTACTATGTGTCAGGCACTCTAGAAGCCACTGAATGAGTACACAATGAAGGACAAAAGCATGTTCCCTGCCCTCAAGGAGCTCACATTCTAATGGGGGACATAGCATGAAAAAATTATGTATACACAAGATACATGCAATGTCAGGAGAGATAATCTCAGATGAAAAACCCCAACAACAGTAAAACTAGTAGTAAGAAGTGAGAAAGGCCTCTTGCAGAAGGCAAAATTTAGTCTGAGTCTTGAAGAAAGCCAGGGAAATTGGGATGCCAAGGACTTTCCCCAATATTTCATCCAGCTCAGAAGATCTGCTCCCCATTTTCTGCCTTGGCCTCCTCACCTGGTCCCTACTATGAGATCTTAATGGGCCACAAATACTCAGGTGTTCCCTGAGATGCTGTTGTTGTTTGCTTACTTCCACTAGTGGATAATGCAAGACTTCCAAACCTATTATCCTGGTTTCCTTCAAGATTTAAGTTAAGTGTCACTTGGTACATGAAGCCTTTCCTCATCCTCTAAGTTTTCTTGAATGTGCTTATTTGTTTTGCCTTTAATTCCCTATGTGAATATTCTCTCCTCCATTAGAACATAAGCTTCTTGAGGACAGAGACAGTTATCTTTTTGGTATTTCTGGGCCCTCTGGGGCACAATGCCTGGCCCCTGGTAAACTCTTGATAAATGTTTGTTCATTGCTTGCTTACTATTTTGTTCATTTTTTCTCTCTCCTTAAGTCTTCCATTGATGATTTTCTACAAGAAATCATACTGTTGAAAAAAATTGTCCAATTGGTGGATACTTGATTTTTCATAAGATTCAACTCAGCTCAGTTCAGGAAGTTATTAAGCACCAACTACACTCAAGGCACTGTGCTAAGTGCTGGGGATATAAGGACAATGATGGAATGGACCCTACCCTCAAGGAACTTATATCCTGAGCCTGGCTACCAAAGACTGGATGGCTCATAATCTCAGAAATCCTCCAGCATCCTTTCTTTCCTAAATTCCCTGAGTCCAATAGCACCATCTTCTTGAATTCAGCTCAACAGATTAAGTGCCTACTATGTGCAAAGCATTGTATTAGGTGCTAGATATACACAAACTTACCTTTCGCTGAGAATATATAACACGTATCCAGATAAGCAAACCAAGACAATTTGAGCAAGGAGAACACACCAGGCATCAGGAAAGTGTTTACTAGGAGGCAGCACCTTAGATGAGCCTTGAAGGAAGCTAGGAATGCTGAGGGGAAGAGGTGAGTAGAAAATGAATTGAAGACATGGGTACCAGCCTGGGCAAAGACAAGAAGACAACATATGGAAGGCCAAATATGGGGAATAGTTAGTAGGTCAGCTTGGGAGGAAGGGGGCTAGTATGAAAGACCTGGAGGTCTAAGTCAGAGCTAGACTGTCAATAGTTTTAACTTCTATGATCAGGAATTCCTATTTATCCTAGTGTTAATCAGTGGTCACTGGAGGTTTTAGAGCCATAGGGTGAAATGTTCAGACTCTTTTCTTAGGTTACGAATTTGATAGCTATGGAAGATAAATTGGAGTGGGGAGTAACAGCAGGAAGATAAATGAGGTGATTGCAATAGTATAGGGTAGAGGTGATTTATCCAAAATGAATGGGAAGAATCCTGATGCCCTCTTCAGAAATACAGCTGTTTAGAGGAGAAGTGGATGTAGGGCCTGGGGTTTGAGGCAAGCCTCCTGGGGCAGGTTGAGGGAAAGAAAATAAATTCTGATTTGTACATGTGGAATCTGATATTCTATGCAAATGTGGGCCACAGATTGTGCAGGCCTGTTCTATGTGATTGCAGATTCCTAGCAGGTAGCTGGAAAAGTAGAAGTAGAATTCAGGAGAGATTTTGCCTGGATAAATAGATTGGTGAGTCTTCAGTATAGAATTGAATCCTTGGAAGCTGATAAGATAGCTAAGTGATTAGAAATTGTAGAAAGAAAAAAGGGTTCAGGACAGAACATTGGGGAACACCCATAATTGGAAGATGGAGAAATATGATGATCAAACAAAAGAAACTGAGGGATAGTTAGATAGGAAGAAGGAAAGTGGAGAATTAGAGAAATTTCATAGAAACTAAGGAAAAAG